AGACTTCTTATTGATCAATTTATCTGCACGTTTCAATGCTAGTAATTCAGATGAAAATGTTAGAGGATTATTTCTGCAATTTGCAGTTGATTGCATAAATTTAGCATTTATGACTTTTGAAATTTGACCACCTTTTCGCCTTGACAAAAGCTCTAGAAGCATTCTTCCCATAGAAATAAAAAAATTTTTATCAAAATTGAGCAAAAAAAACCCCTCTAACTCGGCGAGTTTATTGGGGAGTCATTGATGATCGGAGTAATACCAGCCACTCACTACACTTGAGAACCCAGTTTATTCCCAGGTGGCTACCAAAATACAAAGCCAGGATCTCAGCAGTGCAGGCCCAGTGCCCTAATACGTCGCATATAAGTCACCTGAGCCACGCGGCCACATTCTGAGCAGGTACAAGTGCGGCAATAATTGGCGCGGCACTTTCGTATGTACAGATGATTGCCTAGTGGCAGGGTGAGATTGTGGGCGTGGGTGGCATTGCCCTTCAGGCCACGTGAGCTGGTAGGCTGTAGGCTGGTTGCTGATTCATACAGTGAGGGAAAAAGTATTTGATCCCCTGCTGATTTTGTACGTTTGCCCACTGACAAAAAAATGATCAGTCTATAATTTTAATGGTAGGTTTATTTGAACAGTGAGAGACAGAATAACAACAAAAATCCAGAAAAACGCATGTCAAAAATGTTATAAATTGATTTGCATTTTAATGAGGGAAATAAGTATTTGAACCCTCTGCAAAACATGACTTAGTACTTGGTGGCAAAACCCTTGTTGGCAATCACAGAGGTCAGATGTTTCTTGTAGTTGGCCACCAGGTTTGCACACATCTCAGGAGGGATTTTGTCCCACTCCTCTTTGCAGATCTTCTCCAAGTCATTAAGGTTTGGAGGCTGACGTTTGGCAACTCGAACCTTCAGCTCCCTCCACAGATTTTCTATGGGATTAAGGTCTGGAGACTGGCTAGGCCACTCCAGGACCTTAATGTGCTTCTTCTTGAGCCACTCCTTTGTTGCCTTGGCCGTGTGTTTTGGGTCATTGTCATGCTGGAATACCCATCCACGACCCATTTTCAATGCCCTGGCTGAGGGAAGGAGGTTCTCATCCAAGATTTGACGTTGCATGGCCCTGTCCATCGTCCCTTTGATGCGGTGAAGTTGTCCTGTCCCCTTAGCAGAAAAACACCCCCAAAGCATCATGTTTCCACCTCCATGTTTGACGGTGGGGATGGTGTTCTTGGGGTCATAGGCAGCATTCCTCCTCCTCCAAACACGGCGAGTTGAGTTGATGCCAAAGAGCTCCATTTTGGTCTCATCTGACCACAACACTTTCACCTAGTTGTCCTCTGAATCATTCAGATGTTCATTGGCAAACTTCAGACGGGCATGTATATGTGCTTTCTTGAGTAGGGGGACCTTGCGGGCGCTGCAGGATTTCAGTCCTTCACGGCGTAGTGTGTTACCAATTGTTTTCTTGGTGACTATGGTCTCAGCTGCCTTGAGATCATTGACAAGATCCTCCCGTGTAGTTCTGGGCTGATTCCTTACCGTTCTCATGATCATTGCAACTCCACGAGGTGAGATCTTGCATGGAGCCCCAGGCCGAGGGAGATTGACAGTTCTTTTGTGTTTCTTCCATTTGCGAATAATCGCACCAACTGTTGTCACCTTCTCACCAAGCTGCTTGGCAATGGTCTTGTAGCCCATTCCATCCTTGTGTAGGTCTACAATCTTATCCCTGACATCCTTGGAGAGCTCTTTGGTCTCGGCCATGGTGGATAGTTTGGAATCTGATTGATTGATTGCTTCTGTGGACAGGTGTCTTTTATACAGGTAACAAGCTGAGATTAGGAGCACTCCCTTTAAGAGTGGAGCCAGAAATCTTTCTGATTAAGAGGGGGTCAAATACTTATTTCCCTCATTAAAATCCAAATCAATTTATAACATTTTTGACATGCGTTTTTCTGGATTGTTTTGTTGTTATTCTGTCTCTGACTGTTCAAATAAACCTACCATTAAAATTATAGACTGATCATTTAATTGTCAGTGGGCAAACGTACAAAATCAGCAGGTGATCAAATACTTTTTTCCCTCACTGTAGTAGTAGGCTGTAAGTGCTACAGTAATAAGTACACGTGCATTATGTTTATTATTTGCCTGGCGTGGCGGGCGTATCAATTGGTGACAGATGACACATTGTCCGGGGACTATTTAAAGACTACTTTTACACAGGAGGGGTGGGAGGCACTGACATTTCTCGAAACAATAAGGAGAGGGGTGTGGAGTGGGGGAGCACATGCCCGGGATCAAGTAGGTGCAGCGCCTCCGCTGGAAGTATCCCTGATAAGGCAGACAATGTCAGAGTGTTTAAACCGTGGAATCTATCCGCAGGGATTAACGATCACCAATCTGGGACAGGATTTTTGTTTTCATCCCGGGCACTCGATGCTGTCCTTACGAGGGTATTTCGGGACTGCAGTCGAGAGCTCCGTCTAGTGGGGGAGGTCCTTCATCCAGCAGTGGCTAGAGCAAGCAATCGCAGGGCTCCACCATTGGCTTTTACTGCACATTATTAGGCCACTAAGTTCTATTGACAGTCATGCAGCAGCAGCACAGCAGAATTGTAACCGTCCTGCACGTTCAGCAAGCCACGTTAATTCACTTACACGGTTGTCGAAAAGTGTGCGCAGCGCGTTGTGGTTTTTAATGGGGAGGTGTATCCCACAATGCCAATGACACACACATATATACACGATGCCGCAGCACGTGTAGGATAGCTTACACAAAAGACCAGGCATGTGGAAACTATTTTCAAGTTGTGGTCGGAGGTGAGGGGGGGGGGGGCAGATAGCCAGGGAGGCCCTTGAAGGTAAATGAGAGGGCTCGGTATATGGCTTGGCCGCCCAATATTCAGAAAATGCCGAGCAGCTATCCCCCCCCCCCCCCCCCCCGAGGCCCCTTACGTTGCTTGGAGCACTTCAATAATACAAAAACAATTAACGCATTTGGTCATTACAAACCCCCAAAAGAGGCAATATATACAGCTTTCCCTCGCTTTATGTGGGTTCGGTTCGTGCCATTTCATGCGTATGCCGGGCGAAATTATTTCTACCCGTAATTATAATTCGCTCCTCCGTGCCATTTGAATTCACTCGCGCGTGGCCATGCGGTCGGACGTGGAGGACAGCATCGTGCGTCTGCTGTGTGGCAGCTGTCTCGCGTGAGGTTTTCGCTTTTTGCACCCTTTGTTTGGATCGCATCTACTACCACCGCGTTGAGCGAGGGAAAGCTGTGCGATCTGTGATCTCGGTAATATCGGCGACGATTCAGGAAAAAAGCCCTTCATCGCTTAGCCGTGAAAATGGGCCGCTGCCGGAAACGCTGCCTATTATATCGCTTTATTTTTTTCTTCGCGGGCAGTGTTACCGACAGTTGAGCTGAGTTTTTTTTGTTGTTGTAATTTCAGATTGTGCACCACTGACAGTACAAAGAAAACATGTACTTTTTTAAAAACTTGTTTTTATATCATTTTGTACCGATATGCTGTATATATACAATTTCTACTTTTAGGGCCAGATTCTCATCTTGACCACAGGGATGATCTGCGTTGGCTCAACAAATTTCCCTCATTATTTTTGATGGCGATAAAGTAGTTGGCACGTTTACACGAATACTATGATAAAAAGAAATGTCCGCCAGCCATGTGAATCGGACCCAGAGTCCTGTTTTATATTCAGCATACCCAGCTATTTATCAGCGAGAATTCCAAAACTTTATCTCAAACAATTTGTTTTTTTATTCAGCATTTCACTTTGGCGGTCTTCATCTGTCTCCCATTGCCACCAATCATTTATAATATCACTTCCTGGGTAGTGAGTGGGGGCTGCTGCAGTGGTGTAACGGTCAGCACAGTTCAGAGGTCAAAAGTTTGATTTGTTCTTTTGGCCGGCAGTTGAAGCAACGGTGCAAGTGTATAGTGACATTGAATGAGTCACTGTAGCACGTGCCGCTGGGAGATTGGTAGCCAATGGGATTGGAGGTAGCAGCTCGTTCTACCAGTTGGACCTGTGGGCAAGGCACGGAGCCTTCTGGGGGATCCAGAGGGGCGCGGGGGCGAGGGTGGAGCCGAGGGCGGGGCCGAGGGCAGGGCCGAGGGCGGAGCCTGGCCACGCTGGGGAGGATAAAAGGCGAGCTCCGACTCACAGTCGGGGCTGCTGCCGTCTGGAGTGGAACTCGTCGTGCCGTCGTCATCGTGATCTTCGCCCTCTTCAAGCTGTGGGTCTGGCAGCGTGTTGGCTGTCCCGACCCCATGTGTAGTTATCCCCTATGGCTGTGAAGGCCGGAATAAACGAGAGAGAGTGCCTCCTACTAGTGTCTCTGAATTAGCCCACTACAAATGTATAAAATCCCCAATCACCGCCTCTGCTCCCCACCCCCTCCCAGCGGTATGAATGAGTGCAACCACAGTCGATCGGCAGATCGGGTGTGGTGGAGTAAAGCGTGGGTAATTCCTACCTCGCCCAACATATCTAGCTTGAATGGAAAAATGCGCCAAATCACCTCTCCAGAACTCCCACTCGTGGAGGCCCTTGTGCCAGCGGTGGCTTGACCAGGCAATTGCAGGGCTGCACCTTTACCTGGTTAGTGTCGTCAAGCAATGCCATTCGTGGTTTAAAGCAATCTGGTCTCCACAATTCACAGCCACCAGAGGCGAAACCCATCTGAACCTTCACGTAGAAAAACATTTGGGCATTCATTACTCAAGATTATTATCTGGGACTTATTTTTGCTGATATTCACTCTGGTGAGAGTGTACATGTGTTTTGAGTTTGCAGTGAGCAAAATAAAGATTTGATGACTTTTCACAATTCAGGATTGCAATTCAGTTGAAAAAAAAATTCAGTTTTTTTGCAAAGGTTCTGAAGGTAGAGCCTCAGCTGGCCCCAGGATTTACCTGAACCAATTATACGCTTAGTATTCATACCTTTTTTTAAAAATCGAAGCTCGCATGCATGATTCGATGCAAGTTTCACGCATATATGATGATGCATCGATGCATCATCATACATGCAGATGGCAGTAACTCTACTGAGTTTCTTGCCAGCGTAAGAAGCAGGAGGAACTCGGTGTGACATGTTTGATGATTCGTCTATCAGACCGTGACCTTAACACACGGAGCTGTTCCACAGCATCGTCATGGGCTGCCCCATAATCGCAGCCTTCAGGGCCTGTCGCTAGAAATATTGGGAAACGGTTCTCAGAAGTGAAATCCTATTTAGGTTTTTTTGATGATGCATGTGTTTCCGTATGCCTCTGCTTCTCTTATTTCTCTCTCTCTCTTTCTCGTCGTCATCGCTCGGCTGCCTTCCATCGGTAACTTACACTCAACTCACTCTTCAAGCTCTTCCCGAGTCGTTCACAATAACCCACGCGTCTGTCGACGCCACCGTGTACATCGGCCGCTCTCCATCTCGCCGCGAGAAATTAGTTTCGGGGCTGACCCTGCGGCCACGCAAAGTGCCTTGCCTCTCCGCGCTACAAAAATCTGGAACGCGTCACCCTCTGCTTTATCCCTTCGCGATGACGGCCTGCAGCATCAGTTCGAGTCTCTGCTAACAGTTGTTTGCTGTTTTTGGACGTGCATAACCAACGATGACGTTCAGTGAACATTAGCAATCGGTTGCGACGTTTTTGTGCGCGCGGTTCTCGATTCGAAAAATAATCCACAGCCATCAATATCACACAACGCAGGCCCTCAACACATTATTAGGAGCCCTTCCACAAAACGAATATCTATCGTTTTACTGTGGCTACACCGCAGCCCTTCATCCTCTCACCCAGAGCTCCCCACAGCCGCACATCTACGGCACCCCGCTCTCTCTCTCTCCCTCTCTCCCTCCTGTCTACACGGCCGGCTCGTGGTGCTCGCGCAGCCCCGTGACCATCATGGTCTCGGTGAAGGGCTGGCTGACGGACGAGATGGAGCGCTGCGAGGCGCCATGCGTGCGCCCCGACCGCCAATGCCGTCGCTCCGATCCCTGGGCCCCGCACGCGGGGACGACCCCCGAGCCGGCGCCGGTCGCGGCCCAGACCCCAACGCCGCCGGCGGTGGTCGCGGCGCGTCCGTGCTTGTTGCGCAGATACTCCTGGTAGTTCTTGGTGAGCAGCGTGTAGAGGAACGGGTTGATGCAGCTGTTGCTGTAGGTGAGGCACGTGGCCACGATGTTCATGTAGTTGACAAACGCCTCGCTCCATTGGGCCACACCCGGGTGGTAGACACTCACCAGCTGCCAGGTCCAGAACGGCAGGAAGCAGGCCCAGAAGGCGAGCACGATGCTGAAGATGAGGTAGAGCACCTTCTGGTTGGGCGAGCGTTTGGTGTCCTTGGTGGCCATGGCGGAGGTCTGTGAGAGCCAGTAGGTGCGCGCGAGCCGCACGTACAGCGAGCCGATGATGAGGCCCGGGGCCAGGATGCTGGTGACGAACAGCACGGTCAGGTAGACCTTGAGGGAGCTCATGCGCCAGGAGGGCGCGCACAGGTAGTGCACCTCGCCGTTGGTCTTGTTGACTCTGCACAGCTCCACCATGAGGATCATGGGCAGCGCGAGCAGCAGCGAGACGACCCACACGGCGAGCGCCAGCGCCTTGCGATAGCTGCGCGAGCGGCGGACCGTGTCGAGGGGGCGCACCACCGCCACGTAGCGCTCCGTGCTCATCACGGCCAGGATGAAGATGCTCGCGTGCATCGTGAGCAGGTCGAGGCTGAACACCACGCGGCAGCCCACGTCGCCAAAGTACCAGTCCTTGGCGAAGCTCGTGCACACCACGAACGGGATGGAGGAGAGGTAGAGCAGATCGGCCAGCGCCAGGTTCACGATGTACACGTACATGGAGGCGGACGAGCGCATCGACTGGCACATGACCACGAGCGTGTACACATTGCCCGCCACGCCGACGACGAACATCAGCGACATGACAGCGCACATGATGGACGTCACCAGCAGGTCGTCGTGGTCGTCCGCGTCTTGGTCGAAGCCCGACGAGTTGCCGAGTGGAAGGAGCGTCGGGGAGGAGCAGTTGGGGGGGAGGAGGCTTTCCGACGATCTCATGGCTCGTTTCGGGGGTGGCGTGGCGTGAGCCGGGCGGGGTGTGGACTCGAGTCTCCTCTGTCTTGGGTGCCCCACGTCTCTGGGGGAAGGGACCTCTGGGCCGGTCGGCTCGGTCGCGCCCCGGTGGTTGACGAGAATTCTGTGGGGTGGGATGGGGGTCTCCTTCCCGCGGTGGGGGCTTCCTAAAGGAGCGTCCGCGCCATCGGAAAGACACCTGTGGGACTGAAAGCACGCGGCCGTTAAAAGTTGGGGTGACGTTCCGCGTTGCGCTGTGCGCAATCAGCGCATGCGAAATAATTTGTAATTGAGCACGTCTTGTGTCGCCACGATGTGCACTAGCTTAGAAGAAGATCATCAAAGAGAGAGAGGTGGGGGGTGGGGGGGGGGAAAGAGTCAGAAGGTCCAATGAGCGATGGGAGAAAGGAGTTCCAGACGATGGGGACTGCAGAGGACAATGAGTGTCCTCCGACTGAGCATAGGTCGACTGGGGCTTGTAGCAGAAAGCATTGGTTGCTGGAGTAGAGAGTGCATGGAGGAGAGTAAAGTAAAATAAGCAGAGATAGGTAGGGAAGAGATCATGGACGATCTTGAATATGTTGAGTGTGATTGTTGACATTGATTCAGGATTGGGTTAGACTGAGAACTGTTACACAGACAGCCATAATCAGGACGCTACTGTTGGAAACGATGGGTAAGTTGCAGTCCATCATTATCAGTGGACTGTAAGTGGAGACCCAAGGACCCTCTGCAGTGTGAATGTGGTGAACAACTTCAAACGATGGAACATCATAATAAAGGTTTTTGGGTTAGATCGCGTTATTTATAAATGTGTCGTAACCCTCCACCACCCGACACGGCCAATCAGCAAAAAAGTGTCACGTTGACAAAAGACAAATAGTTCACTACTTTAGCATCCACAACATTTACAGTTTGAGTACGACGTTTCGCTGGTAATTACATCCAGCATCATCGGGCAATTCGCCAGAATGGTGGTGGAGGGTTACGACACATTTATAAATAACGCGATCTAACCCAAAAACCTTTATTATGAATAATATTGGTCGCGAAAGCCTACGTGTTAAACTGATGGAACATCTAGTGGACAACTGTCCACTCTTAATCATCCTCCAGTTATTTTTAAATAAAATATTTGTCTTTAAAGTACTTTCACAACATAAATAGATTTTTTTAAAGTTTAAATTAGCATTACGTAGAAACAACATGTTCATCTACCCACTCTCGATTCATTAATATCGTTTAGCGGATAATAGTCCAATAGCATCAAATCGAATGAGCACACTGTCGTGGCAAGCACCTCAATTGGATTAGAGTTGGAAAGTAAAGTTCAGTGCACTCGATTCCAATCGACCAAAATACATACTGTTATTTTAATCATAATGAGCAAATTAATGATGCGTATAAGTAATCATAATTACGGCGATTAATGCACAATCTGATCTAATGTTCATCTAAATATGAAACGAATTGAGCAACGCGACATGTACCAGCCGTAGGTTGGGCACGTCGTTTAATAAAACTACTCCTTATGAATATCACCATCGCACTGCATTACATGCGTTCATTTGTGACTACTGCAGGTGGGACGAAGTGGAGGTGTGTTTGTGATGTGCCTACGATGGACACCCGCAGTCTCCTGAGATCTCAGAAGCCAAGCAGGTTTGAGCCTGGATAGTGCTTGGATCGGTGACCACCACCGTGTGGGCTTGGCTGCTGCGAGGCTATGAGGTCGGGAAAGGGCAGTGCAGCAAAGTACTGCACACTTCATACAGACGTCTATGCTCCATATTCCCCAACTGTCTTCACCCACTACAAGTAATGTCCTGCTAAAATGAGCATTGAAGCGATGCTCATTTCCTGTTTATAGACCTGAACCAGTGGTGGAAATTCCACATTATTGTGCCAGAGATGGGTCTCTCCAAAGACAACCACCGTTGACTTCCCCATGTAGTGATACTATTTGTTTTATCGACCCCAGAGGGATGATGGGTTGAGTCAACCCCCAACCTGGAAATTGAACTCGCGACCTTCCGAGGGCGAGACGCTCGCTCTACCGCCGAGCCTCCTGACCCTATTGATACATAAATAAAAGGACATTTATGTATCAATACAACGCTAGACCATACAGCTCGAAGGGCAACCGGACTAATTTCCCTGCCCCTGTGACTTGTCCATGGCCATTCTGGTTTCAATGAGCCCACGCTTGTCAATGTTTGTTCCCCCCTACGCGGGGGGTGGAAGCTTGCACACAGACGCGCAGCTCAAGCCAGAAACCGATAAAAGCTCCCAGGAGAGAATGGGATTTTCTGCTCCCATTCAGCCGTGAGGACAAATAATTTGACTCAACGCCCACCCCCCCCAGCTATTAAAGCTTAACCCGGATCATCTAGAGCTTTTCCCAAGGCAATTACTGCCTCGCTGATTAATTATCATGTACTTATAAGCACCGCCGCCTCGGAAGTAAGCGTCACTGAACACTACTTTGTGTACAGACGGTGAAGGGTAAAGGCGCAGCCCGGCCGTGGCTTGCTCACGGCACTGCTGGCAGAAGGGTCTCGACTAGAGGGGGCTTTGGAGAGGACCGCCCCCGCCACAGGTGCGATTCTTCATCTCTGGCCAGGCATCTCAGAAGAGGTGGGAGTGCCCACGTTTTACCCCACCACATGCGAAATGCCGTCCGCCTCATCACCATACTATGGACTGCCAGTTTACACTGCTGGGTTTTTGTTGAAAGTTGCTCGTTTCAATTGCTGAATCGGGGGGTGGGGGGGGTATATATATGCCTCCGCGTGTTGTGCAGCGTTGTGAGATGCAGTTTGCATGAATGAAGCGATCTAAAATTACTTGTTATTGCTTCATTATTATTATTGAGTCAAAAAACGGCCACCTCTGGACTGCAAGCCCCGTGTGTTAACTATCGCAGCATTGCTGTATCCCTGTCTGTACAGTACATCAGTATGTTTCATTAGTGGTACATCACAAATATCAACATCATCAACCACAGACTTGATTTGAAGCTTTCGTGACTGCAGGGATTACTCTTTGTTTTTTTCGGTAAAGTCACGTATAAATAAGAAATAGTAAAATAACATAATAGCGTACGACGTTTCGGTTGCAACCCAAGCAGCCATCATCAGGTACAGAAGAGCTACATTTACGAGAGAGGGGAAACACATAACCTCAGATGTATATACAGACACCCAAGTAGGGGGAACTAACACAGATACAACAGGGGACACAGAGAGAGAAGCATAGCAGACAAACAGGGTTTAGCAAAATTTTGGAAACCATATAAAGCAACACAGACGGTCGGTCAAAACACAATTAATCCATAGTCCGGTTGATCACGCTGTGTGTGTGTGCGGTCTGTATTTTGAGTTTCATACTTAACTTGCAATTTAGCAATCTTTGAAATAGCGTAATCAACCAGACTATCCAACTCTGTTCCGAACTCTGTTTCTACTCTGTTTCCAAACTCTGTTTCTAGACTCTGCTTCTACTCCGTTCCTAACTCTGCGTCTTCATCGTCCAGCTCCAAACTCCAACCAACCTCTGTCTCTGTGTTTCCCCCAATTTATCCCCATGCTCATTATCGCTAATTAATTGGCCCGCGTGCCTCCGCACGCTTCGCGTCCTCAAACACCTGCCTTTCTCCAGACATCTCGACGCCTCCTCGCCCTTGACAACAGCCACAGCCAATCACCGCCGTTGCTGATCCTCTGGCTTAATTAGCCCAACCGTTACCTCATCATCCCAGCCTTTGCACCTGGCTGTCCTAAGACGACCCACACTGTTGTCGCCTTCTCCACAGGCTGACCCCAGATAAACCCACACTGTCCGTGTGATCATGCATTCGCACAGTTTCCACAACACACATTCATACTCCACTACACATACTCACGGTATTTGTTATTGTTATGGGAGATTACGTAATTTATGTAACATTTGGGGCAGATGTTGGTTCTATAATTTATGGGGATGTTTGTGCGTGAGAGAGAGAGAGCGACAGAGGCAGGAATGGATTGAAAGAAACTGAAAATAAAAAAGAGATCCGTGCGACAATTCTAAGGCGCCGGCATCTCCCCGTGCTGACAAGGAACGGGGCAGGAATCAGTTCCATTGGCCGCCCCGGAGACAGTGGTGGAAATTCCTCGTTCCTTTGGCGGGGGTCGGTCTGATCATAAGCAATACTTATTTTACGGCCCCCAGATGGATGATGATGATGATTATTATGATGATGGGCTCAGCCGACCCCCTTCACCGGGGTCTCACCTGCCAACCTTGAGATGGTGACGTGAGTCTTCTAAACCACTATGCAGGTAACAATACCCCCCTTCCCCCCAGAGATTCAATGAATTTCTATTTGGTTAACTTCCTATTCAAAATGTCAATATTCTGTCTCGTTTTTGTAGTCGTTTTATTTATATATTTTTGTATGTCTATCTTTGCATAGCTTTATCTACTGCAGTAACCAAAATGCTACATTCGCGTAATATTTGCATGGGATTTGCATATAGCGTAAATAACGCTTGCACGTATTATTTTACACGCGTACTGTGGTCATAAGAACCAATTATTATCGAGCAATAGATGCATCATTATATGCCGAGTACCTAATTCTGCGAATATTAAAAAAAAAACCTGCTGACCTTTGAATGTGCAGAGGATGCTAGGAATGTTATGGAAGCAACTTGGAAGTTCCGAACTAATTAATATGTTACAGGCACAGTCATGCCTATAATAGGGTTTTTCCACTTTTTTCTGGCAACAAAACTGAAACCTTTTTTACGAGGATTCATGTCTGCATTAACCACAATACCTGCAGTCAGAATACAAACAAAAAAATACTATGATAATATATGCATTGTCCTTGAAACTGATTGGTCCACACAAAGGGACGGCTTTCTTTTGAACCTCGACCCAATTGGTGCTCGACCAGATGACGCCAAAAGACGTACAGTCATGCCTACTAGCAACATTGCCGATAAATTAAAAAAATAAGAGAGGAGAAAGCCCCATGATACAATCACAGGAAACAATTCAGCACGATGGATGAATCTGCATTTGTTTTCTGTCTCTATATATCTTTCTACTCTTGAGAACTTTTCATTTCGACCTTTGACAATTATATTTTGTACTCTTTGGTTCTTTCGCCTCTTTCAGAATGCTTTGTCAGTTACCTTGATGTGCCTTTCCCATTTGCA